TACAAATTAATACGTACTAAAAACAAAGTCTAGAACTTATTTCTATGTGTAAATTTAGTATAACTAGAAATCTAATTAATTTTATGTTATGTGTAGTTAGTGATTCTCTCGATAGTACTTATAATCGATGTAATTCCTATATAAGATTGAAACGTGACATGCAGTCCCGAATAATCTGATACTTTCCAGAAACTTATTACGAAACATGCTTACACAAATCTCCTTAAGGGAATCCTAAAGTGATCTGTTTTACCTATTTTTTTCAAATACACTTAACTTTTTTTGGCTGTGTAGAATGAAAAATCCTTAATTGTAAATATTTCCCACCATACTAGTCAAGATTTGTGATAATGCATAAAAAGCGTCGCTTACTGGAACAGTGACATTGACTACCTATTTTGAAGAATTTTTTAATTTAATTTCCTTATAATAGTTATAATAATACGAAATATTGTTAATAAATTTTAATATCTTAATTTTAACGTTATTTATAAACTACACATTTATTTTACGAATTAGTATTGCAAACTTATTATCAAACATTTCTCGAATTAATTAAGGCAACATTTTTACGCACTACAATTGATATATGACTAATGATTTTAACCAATAGGCTATAATATTGAAACTGCAAAACGATTGATTCACTTTTTATACTTATAATATGTCTATTAAAAAATATATTGTCTTTGAATACAAATTAATGTGTCCAATATAATTCATATATAAAGATAAAATGTGTAACACAATTTTAGATAGTCTGATATTGTCCAAGAAGATTCCACATGCTTGAAACACATGCTGTTAAGAATCTCTAGAATAAAAAATTATTACATAGTAGGTTTTAAAATTCTAGATGTAAGATCCTAAATATCCTAGATGTAAGATCCTAAATATCCTAAATATAAGGGGAAAAAAATATTTCCAGATACTTATTAAGATTTCACGTTAGATACAAGTCCATTTTTCATCATAACATCAATCAATTGTCAATCTCATCTCATACATTCATCAATCATACATTAAAATATACGAGTATAATAATACGCGTGAACTTGGCGCTAGACACTACTGTCTCTTAATCTAAGGCACTTGTTACGATATCTATATAGGATAAATAAGAATAAGGTTTTAGGATCTAAAAAAAAATCTAAATCTAGGAAGATCTAAATAAGAAATATAGCATACTAACTAGCTTATAACATTCTTAAGAGTGAGTGCTAAAAGCATTAGACAGTGACGTTGACTATCGCTTTTGTAAAATTATATAATTTTATACTTTTTGTTATTAGTTGTAATAATAGAAAACATTATTTATGTATATTGGTATTATCTTATTCTTTCAATTCACTAAACGTTTTTTTTTTCAATGATTTCAGTAGCACATTTATTTCTCATTAAATATTTTTCAATAAATTATAGCAGTATATCTGGACAGCATGTTTAATAGAATTTAAAATTTCACTTACATCATGCAATTATAATCCTATACTTTACGTAATCAATATGTACTTTAATAATTATGACAGTAGTATTAATAAAAAATATTTTTGATATACGACTTATGATCCTTTATATTACAATTTTGTCTTTTATATTTATATGATTTTAACCAATAGATGGCTATAATATTGAAACTACAAATTAATTGATTAACTTTTTGTATTTAAAAAAATCTATTAAAAAATATCTCGTCTTAGAATACAAAAAAAATTAATACTTCTTAAAAACAAAGTCTGTAAGTCAAGCGAGGTATTATTCCATTAAAAAGTACAAAATCTAATACAATTTTGTTAGTAATGAATTATTTGTTATTTCTCTCTTTTTTAAATCTAGAAATAATAATCCATTAATTAAGGTTTTGTAATATTTTGTAATTTTTTTTGTATTTTTTTTGTATTTTTTTTGTATTTTTTTGTATTTTTTTGTAATATTTTGTAATTTCGTAAAGAAGTTAGCGGAAGCACACGTACACAACAATCTAAACAAATCGTATTGTTTACAAATAAGTTGTGACTCTGAACAATTATATAAATATATTATTTATAGCAATATTAATATATTTGGAACTTTGGAAACGTGGCCATGTTGGTCGTAACGAAGCTCGTTCAATGCTGCTGCAATGGTAACTTTCGCAGTTACACTCAGTTGAAATTAAGCGACCAGTGTATCTCGCCGAATTAACGCTAACCACGCTCCTCATAATTGGCACGAAACAGTACGCGCGAGTGAGGAAGTCGAAAACAGGTAGACGGAAGGGGGAAATGCTCGCATCGTTGCAATCGCGGACACGAACGATCGTAGTGGTTGTTCGGACTAAGAGTCGGCGGTGTCGCTGGATTCTGGCGTAAAGCGTGTCACGTCGAAAACTTTGCAAAACTCGAAACGGATTTGAAAATAACTTTGTTTTAAGAATCTCTTGGCCCTAGGACCGCCTTTTCTTTCGATCAAGTCGTCAGATAGTGCTGATTATGCACCCACCGCAGCGCAGCAGCATTTGTTTCATCTGTCTAGCAATGATGGGATTCGCGCATGCTGGAAGGCCGACGAGGACTCTGGCTTTCCGCAAAGGCAGTACTTTTTTTGTAAGTGTCACATGACGTCATACACACGAGATTGTCAAATTCTAAAGGAAATACTCTTCATTAAATAAGTCTTCATAAATAGGTCGGCTGTTAATTGTCTCTCTTTGCTATTATAATTCATTATAATTTATTATAATTATAACAAAAAATTATTTAGTAATACACATTTTTTTCATGGAGTAAAATAAAATTATTCAATAATCGTTTAATAATAAAATGAAAAGTAAAATTATTGCGAAATTAAGGATAAAACAATTTTTATGGTTTTATTTATGTAATTCATTCATAAAAATAAAAAGAACAATTTCTCTTTTTAAATAAAATGACCATCGCACAATTTGCAGAAAAAAATTTATAAATAAATTAGAAATCAGAATTACATGAAAAATTGTTATTAAAAATATTGTGAAAAAAAGTTGAACTACATAAAAAGACAATGTAAAGGTAATAGCAACATAAATTGTCTGGAACTATTTTGTATCATAAAATGTTCAGCGCGAGAAAGTTAACAAACGATTTAATTGACGATTCATCAAATGTTGACGATCTGACAGAAATATGACCAATTTAACAATTTTCCACGTTACAGCGATCTCGGAGAAAATAATAACACAAAAATTATGAATAAAGTGCTGTCAAAAATATAATAAGGGTTATCTGTTTCTTGAAGAAAGTTGATAAAAATCTGCGTTAAAAGAGTAATGCAGTAATAACTGCGACGGTACGCGCGCGCGCGTGTGTGTGTGTGTGTGTGTGGGCGTGCGTGCAAAATAATGTAATCTGACAGTTGTATATCACGACTCAAACGCGATTAAGCAACTTAATAACGCGTTTCCGACTATATCCATACCGTAGTTAAAGGATTAAAGGCTAAACACACATCGGCATAGAGAAGCGAAGATCGCAATATTCTCACAGAGCATTCCGCAAATGATTGTTCCGCTTTGGCCTTCTACGCGCTAAATTGAAATTCTGACGTACGTAGTGGATGTTACTGTCCGTTTGGAACGCGAACGGTTTCAACGCGATACCAAAAATATTACTCCTGCAAAATATATATCATACAAATATTATTCGCGGTCGAATATTCATCGCGAAGAATGTTATCGGAAATATTTTATATCCTTTACACACACGGCAAAATCATTGACGATTGATATCATTTTGGATTAATTACAATCTCATTATCGCCCGGAGTGGCGATACACGCAAATACGTATCGTCCATGAGAAATTTGAATTTTTTTACGCAAATTTTCGCGTGCGCGGTAATTTGCTCTGATTACTTCGGTTTTTCTACCATTTTGAATCGAGATGCAACCGTATCGCGAATTCCAATATTCAAATGCTGGAAAAGGTCTGCAGTGCTTTTTTTCTTGCCATTCGGGAAACAGCTGCGCGCGCGAAACAGCGCGTTATGAAAATACTCACGCCTCCTGTAATTTATACGATTTCGCATCCGGCTTCGTTCGAATGTAACACGAATATATCTTATCCTTTTGGAAATGCCTGCTACATGATGCCTTTGAGAATAAAGTTGCGCATTGAACCTCGTAATATAGATTTATTTTTGACAGCCGTAAGCAGCAGTTTTCGAAACTTCTATCGAACGTGTTCTCCATGTATTCCCTATTGAATCCTTCGCATTAAAAATTAAAACAAGAGAGAAATTTATTTCTTGTTAATGCAAAAAAAGGGAGTGAGAGAGAGCAATTCTTGAAATATATATTGCAAACACCATTTGAAAGAAATCTATAGTTGTGATTTGAAATTTATTCTGATATTCAATAAATCAACATTGTAATATAATTTTTGATCAAATAATAATTTCAAGTTACTGAAAATGCTTGAAGGTAGCGTAAACAGACAGGATCACAGATAAATTATTACGAGCAATTATTACATTTTATGGAATGTAATAAACTACGGTATGCTCCCGCGATACATATTAATGAAAATACGAGTTAATTCTTCCTCCGGCAGCAGGGAATATTGGATATGCAAAATAGACGGAAATCCATACCTTCGTGAAAAAAGCATTAGTCGCAATTTCGACATATTAAAGGGACGTGGACATCAATGACGAATAAATGGATCTCTCGTTCGAAAAAAGCGGTCCGTAAAAAGTCGTAAGAATCAATGTTGGATATCATTCGTACCGAGACATAGCCGGCACTGTTTATGCGGCGTTCCGGCATACCGGCACGAAAGGGCTGAATTTATGCGCCATATGTACACCGGGACCGGTCTCTAATGTAAACCGATCGAGGCTGCCCGTATTTTCGCTTTAAAAGGCACGAAGCTACGGATAGCGGGCATATTTTGAAGCACGATGTAGCGCGAGGCATTAATACGGGATAAAGCAACACAGTTCTCGCCTCGCTTCGACGTACAAACGAAAAGAGTTCCAGGCCGATAGAAATTTATCGACAGAATCGCGGGTATGAGGAAAACGCAGTGTTCGCCGAAAGCCACAATACGGAAACAATATTTGTGTCGAAATTACAATGATAGCCGATCTGCTTTTGTACTTATTTTCGCTGTTGCGCTGTGATATGCTATTTCCTTTCTGTAATCATATTTTTGAATATTCTTGACACATTTATATCTTGCAAAATTGAATAATATTTCAATGAAGAGAAGTTATGTACGTCGCGAGAGTCTGCGAAACTAGTGAATAATGATTTGCATCCAAGATCAAAAAAGCAATCCTGATTTATTAGAGAAAAACGCAGCTAAATAAAGATAATATTATTGGAGTATATTTTGTTAAATCAATGAAATAAATGCAAAGAATGTATGTATGCAAAAAAGTAGGATATGTTATTATATTCAGGGCTGGGCAAAATGTATTTCAAATTGTATTTAAAATACAATAAAATATTTGAAATACAAAATGTACAATGCTAACACAATCTTGGTATTTAAATTATAAAATACAAAATACTTTTAATTTTTAATTTTTGATTTAAAATACAAAAATTTTGTATTTTAAATATAAAAATTGAAGATATTTTGCAATAAATACTAAAATTGTTAGTATTTTGTATTTCAAATGTGTTTGTCCAGCCCTGATTATATTTAATATTAATAAAATATACAATTAATTTAAATCAATATATCAAAAGAATAAAAGTAGAATCGGGACGTATTAGATGCAATTGCATATTGCATTCGCAATCGCCGCAATCACCGCAAAAACTATCATCACTGTTTCTTATAATCCGTCGTTTCTTATAATCGTGACTCACATGTTCTTTGATTCTTATCGTTAGCCGTCTCTTGCCAAAACTCTCGCAACACTTCTCTTTCGTCTTTGTTTACGGCTCGTGTTTATTCTTTCTCGTCTAGCGATCTCTCTTACACGCGGTCGACCGTGCATCTATATGTATATCAACAATGATTCCAAATCCCAACACAATAATTGATCAGTTTGTCGTTTCATTTTAAAGATTCCTATGTTATAAATGTAAAAATTATAATTCGAAATGATAATAAAATTAAACAAGAGAGAATGTAGAGAACTATAGAGTGATGTTCTTGTTCTTTAAGAAAGTAGCAGGTGTCTCTGAGACGGTAGCATTTGGGCTAATCTTATGACAGAAGAATTATGCAACTCGTGATGATCCGGTGCACTTACGACGAAGTGCACCGCAGTATCGATGATACGCGACGTGTTTACCATGTACATTACTTGATGTACAGGGCAGAAACAGGGCTTAGGATCAATATGCATGAATCAACGCTGTCTCGTTACATCCCGCTTATATATATATAACGCTGTACATGGAAATATGCATATTTAACGGATTATTTTGATTGACATTTCATTAATTATACATAATTCCATATATAATTATTTCTAAAATATATGACACTTTGGACAACGAAATTGTGCAACAGAGAACGATCGCGCACTATCATGTGAAAATTACATGAATAGCTTTAAACTCATGTTTCCAAAGTTAATTAATATACACATTTCAGATCAATTTATAAGCTTACAGCTTCAATTTTGACACACCGCAAATAAAACACAATTCATTTTTTATATCAAATGAGTTGGATATTCTTCATTATTAATAATTCGATATCAGTCGACTGATTTAGATATTTTTCGATACATTACAGCGTTATTTTGAAATACAATTAATACATAGCTGGCAGTTTTAACCAATAGGTATCTGTAATCTTGAAACTACGTTGATCAATTAATTTAATAGTTATAAAATTTCTATTGAAAGAAATATTGAGTCTGAAAACGAATCACTACTTATGAAGCACAATGTTTAAAACTTGTTAATGTTTATTAAGAATGTATTAGGACCAAAATATAAATAAAATTTTAGATACATTGCCCATGTGCTTCTTGAAGACACTTATATCCGATAGAATTCCTATATAAAGATAAAATATGTACACAATTTTAGATAGTCTGATATTGTCCAGGAAAATTCCACATGCTTGAAACACATGCTGTTAAGAATCTCTAGAATAAAAAATCATCATAAAGTAGATTTTGAAATTCTAGATGTAAGATCTTAAATATCCTAGATATAAGATCCTAAATATCCTATATAAATATCCTATATCCTATAAGGAAAAAAAATTATTCCTAGACACTTATTAAGATTTTACGTTAGATACAAATCCATTTTCATCATAACATCAATCATAACATCAATCATACATTAAGATATATCCGATAGAATTCATATATAAAGATAAAATATGTACACAATTTTAAATAGTCTGATATTGTCCAAGAAAATTCCACATGCTTGAAACACATGCTGTTAAGAATCTCTAGAATAAAAAATCATCATAAAGTAGATTTTGAAATTCTAAATGTAAGATCTTAAATATCCTAGATATAAGATTCTAAATATCCTATATAAATATCCTATATCCTACAAGGAAAAAAAAATTATTTCTAGACACTTATTAAGATTTCACGTTAGATACATCCATTTTTCATCATAACATCAATCATAATATCAA